TGTCAACATCAGCTCTATGTGCACTAATATAACCCTTCTTGTCCAAAACTAATATCACTTTAAATTTAATATACTACCTTTGGTTATTATATCACACTTATATATGTGGACAGAGAACTCTGAATACTTTAAAATTCTGTTATATGCTTAACCATTGCAGTTGTCAAATTTTCAAGCGGTCTGTGTTTCTGGGGTACAACTCTTAACAGAAACTAAATAATCTAATGTCATTTCTAAATGTAAGTTAGTAGTAGAAGTAGTTTGGTGAGAAGCTCGTGATGGCCACTATACCTGCATGTGTACATATTAATAATAGTACTAATAAAGCATCTTCTTCATACATACAATATATGGAACGATGTGAGATCTTGGGCTTTTAATTCATATAGAGGTTAAGAGTTAAACTATCTCTGAAACAATATGTTAAACAGTTGCAGACATTTAACTGTTAAAGGATGAAGATACCTGACAAAATTAAGTCTGCAATTGAAATCAATTAATTTTTCTTCTTTTTTGTCACATTTATTTGGTAATATACAGTCTAAATACATTGTTTTATTTGCAGAAAATATGGCAACGGTTGACAGCTACAAAACTACAGGAAAATATATATCTATTTTCTAATTTCTCCATAGTCGATTAATAACAGTGACTTTTCCAAAAGCACATCAATTTATATCTACATAAAGACTGCAGTCTTATCTGAAAGCAAGAGGTCATTTTGTGTCTTGATCACACACAAAATATAGTCCCTAACAGCTTATATCAATCATCACGCCAAAGTAAATTACAAATAAACAAAGAAATTAAGAAAAGTCTCCAAAAACCTTTCACTTCTTTGACAAGTCTTTGTACTCATAAAACCACCTTTTTCAGTATTTTAGAATATACTGAAATAATAACAATGACTGTACACTAACCCTAATGCACGACACCATCTGATGAGATCCAAATACTTTTTTCTTTTTGATATACACGTACCTACTATCTTATACATATAGACATTTGGTGTTTGAAACATGAATTTGTACAATGCATTTGTATGTAGATTAGATACTTAAAAGTTGATATACTCAGCTTTTCTAAGTGCAAGTTTATTCTCCACAAATCCCTCTTATTATAATGTTCTGCATCATTCTTATGTACCTGGAGAATATTCATCAAACATCATCTATTCCAAATTTTCTTGAGATAAACAAATTAGAATTACTAAAGAAATAATTAAGATAAAGATAAATAAATAAATAAATAAATGAACAAAAACTTCAATACTTCTTATATTTCACTAGTATGAAAAACAAAAGATCCTTGATGATCGTTTATGTCTGATTTTGTTCATATTTTGTAAGTAATTAGTTTAAACATGCAGAGCTTGTGTGTCTGGACTTGGGAAATCCACCTCCAGTTAAGATTTTCCCCAAAAAATTTACCCAATGATTGTGAAAGAACAGGCAATGTTGATGACAGCCATTTCTACATAGCCCAAGTTTCTTTTTTCCCCTGTTTTTCTTTACACAATTTGTAATATTGAAAAATTGAAAAATACAGGCCATAAACACCACATCAGTTATCAATGGATTTCTACCTGCTGAGCATGAAAACACTTCATCCACTTTTTGCATTTGTATGCTTTACTAATGTCCTAATCTACTACACGTATGTACAGCTGGCAGTTTTTTTCTGGTTTTTTCCTTCCTATAAACAAATATGTGGCATCAATTGTGGTCATGAATACAAATAACACTGCTGAGGAGTTCATCACAGAAAAAGGAAAAAAAAAAAAACGGTAGCTGTTTACACGTTCACGTACTTCATGACAGACAGCCCAACATGAAGACTCTTCCAAGCACTTGGCAGGGTTTCAAAATCCCAATCATTTATAAGGAAAATGCATGCTCCCGTGCTGACATCTATTGAAAAGTTCATTCAACATCTATAACCCTAAAAAATGCACACACAATGTCACCTTCTCCAGGATGAAATGTGAACAAGTTTATCACCTTTTGTACTGTCAATCAATATTTCTGCCACCACCATTCTATCAAAATAATCAACAAAATATAATGTAAACACCCCTGTTTATCTTGCAGCCTCCGCTTTTGGTTTTTCTGGTGTGTTTGACCTTGACCTGGGCAAACTTGACCTAGATTCTGGTCTACTTGATGAGGTGGTGACTGTATTGATGTGACTGGTGACAGAGGTGGATGCAGTGGTGGTTGCTTCTGTGCTTGCTACCACTGTGTCTGCGCCCCGTGAATGTGTCACCACTGACGATGAGGAGGAGGAGGATGAAGTAGAAGTAGTGGCAGTTGTGGTGGCTGCAGCAGCTGCAGCTTTGGGATGTTGTGCATGTGCAGCATGGGCCTCGCGTGCCGTTTGTGCCTGTCCACACACATGATGGTGGTTTTCCCAGTCTTTGTGTTGGCAGAAAGAGCCGCAGTACCTTGCAATGTTGCAGCCACTGCACGTCTCACTTGCCTTCCTACCACAGTTCCAACAGCTCTGAAATGTCAAATAAAAAAACAAATGTCATAAACATACAAATTATCATAAGAGATATCAAAGGATTCCTCGTATCTGGTGATTTTTGTATACAATTTTATATTGTTTAACAGATGCAGACCTTCTCTCCATTTTATTGACACGTGGAAGTACAAGTACATTAAAACTGTCCAATCTAAAAACCCAGGTGTGGGACTAGGCCATTTAACAACTAAATTTAAACTTGAAATAGTTTAAATGAATTTCACAAAATACAAGTGTTCCTGGTTCTAAATAATCTGAGAGGTCCTGGTGTTGGCAGTCAATGCACAGGCAAACCCAGGATTTTGCTGTGGGTGGGAGGGGGGGGGGGGGGAAGGATATATATATTTTTGCATTACTTCAATCAGAATGCATACAAAACAATAGACGGGGAACTAAGAACAAAGTGACACAGATCCCATCCCTTCTTCTCTCTCTATTTTTGTTGGGGAGGAGGAGGGAGGCAGTAGAGGGCCTAGTAGAGAGAAGAGGGTGTAATGCCCCCTGGATCTGCTATACTGCTAATCTTGACATAACCAGCAAAGAGATGCCTGAACTTCAGAACATCAAGGTTTTTAAAAATTTGGAAATGTGTCTTGCCATAAAAAAAAAAAAAAAAAAAAAAAATAGTGGTTGCTGAGCAAAGGAGGAAAGGAAAAGGGAGTGGGGGAACCTAGTTAGCTGGGATTTATATCCAACTTACTATAGAGTGCTAAGCACTTGAGTTGGAGTCATTGAGGTGTGTTCCTACCTCACTCGATTCATCTTGAGTGTTCACCATCGTCAAAATTTCCTCCTGGGTCTGTTTCCGTGCATCTTTGACAGCACGCTCCATCTTTGCACGCTCCTCGCGGACAAGATCAGTAGCTTTGGCCTCAGCAGCAGCTACAGCTTTCTGCAACTCAGACACTGCTTGGCGTTTGACTTCATTCACTGCTTCCTCTGGAAATTGGACACATGGTTCATTTTATCTTCATTGCAGTTTTAACAATTACATTTTTGCTACTAAACTGGCACTCATTCATTTCACATATGAGCAGCAATTTTGTAGTATCTTTTCTGTAGAATAAAACAAGACTTTTTTCACAAAAAAACTATTAACTTAAAAACACATTCATACTACTGTGCTGGAATGTATTTAATGCAATCAGTCCATAAAATGTATCAATCAATTGGAATTCTTTTACTTAATTTTTCATACATTTATTGGAATACACTATGATAAGATGGCTTATCTTTTAAAGAACTACAGTTACATATTTGCTTATAGCCATTACTGAGGAAGAGTAACGGTTTACCCTGATTCGTACCTGCCCTCCTTTTGACCTCCGTTACTCTGTCCTCGGTCTGTCTCAGCGTGTGCGCCATCATTTCATTGGTGCGTTTCTTCATGTCCTGGTCGACCCCCTCTGCATGTCTGCGCATCCAGGTGTGCAGTTCTTCGCGATCGCGCTGGCAGCGCTCGCGCAGCACATCAAGAGCACGTCTTGTTTTGTCCACCATTCCCACAATGCAGTGCAACATCTGAAAGAAAAAGTCAATTCGTTTATCAATATGACGAAAGAATAAATAAATAAATACAATATGTCATACCTACATATTAAGACTTTTCAAGGAATGTCTAAAAAGATCAATCTCATTAAAATATAATTCAGTCAACTCTGTCTCAATACAAAGGACTGATTAGACAGCCTCAAAATGATACATGAAAAGATGGACAAAATCTCTTCAGAAATGAGAGATGGTACTGCAGTACTAAAACTTCTACATTTCTATGTCTAAGAGTAACACCTATTTCGATAAGAAGTGGGGCAAACTCCTTCACAAATATTTCATATTCCCATTTAGTATTGTGCTATTTTCAAATGGCCAATTTTTATTACTCAAAAGAGTAGACTTGATAAAAGAGAGATTGTCATATAGAATAAATGCTTTTTACTTCCTCACAGCAAAACAATCCTTCATTCATCCATTCATCTATTAAATCACACCATTGAATATATTATAACTAACTTACAATGCAGCCTGCAGTATGAATAGATGTATATACAATTACAAGCCCATTCAGTCTCTCAGTAAAAAAAAAATGCAGGTAGGAAGTAGTACATAAGTCTACAAAACTTGCAAATTCATTTGTATACCGTAATCACTCAAAAATTTCAAGCACTTCACTCATTTCAACATGTCCCTTTATCAGATTCCATCATTTTCAGTTGTAAACAAAAGGGTACTTTTTTCACAAAATAGACTGCAAAAAAAAAAAAAAAAA